GGGGCCTCCCACTCCTCTTTCTATTCTGGTTAGAGCCAGTTTGCGCTGTTCCTTTTACAATCACATGTGGTCCTCTGTAGCTCAATTGGAAGAGCATGGCGCTTGTAACGCCAGGGTAGTGGGTTCGATCCCCGGGACCACCCATATGTAAAAATGTATGCACACATGACTAAGTCGCTTTGGATAAAAGCGTCTGCTAAATGGCATATTATTATATTATTATTATTATTATTATAATGTTAGTGGTAATGGTAGTGGTGTCTGAGATGTATGGAAATTATGACAACATTACAACACAATGACTTTCGGAGGGATAACAAATGGGATCCATGGCCTCAGCTGAAATGTTATATTTTAAAGAAATGTTTTTATGCACATTTATACGCAAGAAAGGTAGACGGTTGCTCAAATCTTAGAATGTCATATACAGTACCTCAACTTATTTGGGACATAACATGAATGTGGTCGATATTTCAGTTTAGAAATAGTTTAAATCAGTGGTCACCAACCTTTCCTGAGTCAAGATCACTTTGAGTCAAAATGCAAGCCGAGATCTACCGTTCAGATTATTTTTATGCAAGTTTATGCAACATTAACCAATTAAAAATAATTCTGTACCAATGAGGTTTGAGCAGTAGTCCATAGGCCCAATACATTATCACTGCATATTGGCTACGCTTGAATTGCCCTGCCAATGTTGTTCTTCTCAGACCATTTAGAAATTATATTTCAAAATTGTAGGTATATGATCACACTGGTAATAGATCATTTGTTCTATTACTTGTGAGGCACAGCTGAGTGAGCATAATAATTATCTTTTTTTTTGTGGACTGATGGCCTGCATCTGATGGTCAGTCTGAGGGGAGGGAGGGAGCAGTGGTGAGACTGCCTCTCACCCGACTCAACGTCCCTCCTCTCTCCTTCCCTCCGCTGAGAAAAGGGGACACAGTCTTCCAACTGATGGCGAAACATACACCTATATATACAAAATATGTGGACACCCCTTCAAATTAGTGGATTCGGCTATTTCAGCCACACCCATTGCTGACAGGTGTATAAAATCGAGCACACAGCCATGCAATCTCCACAGACACACATTGTCAGTAGAATGGCCTTACTGAAGAGCTCAGTGACTTTCAACGTGGCTCCGTCATAGGATGCCACCTTTCCAACAAGTCAGTTCCTCAAATTTCTTCCCTGCTAGACCTGCCCCGGTCAACTGTAACTGCTGTTATTGTGAAGTGGAAACGTATAGGAGCAACAACGGCTCAGCCGCGAAGTGGTAGGCTACACAAGCTCACAGAACGGGACTGGTGAATGCAGAAGCGCGTAAAAATCGTCTGTCCTCTGTTGCAACACTCACTACCGAGTTCCAAACTGCCTCTGGAAGCAACGTCCGCACAAGAACTGTTCATCGGGAGCTTCATGAAATGGGTTTCCATGGCTGAGCAGCCGTACACAAGCCTAAGATCACCTTGTGCAATGCCAAGCGTCGGCTGGAGTGGTGTAAAGCTTGCCGCCATTGGACTCTGGAGCAGTGGAAACGCGTTCTCTGGAGTGATGAATCACGCTTCACCATCTGACAGTCCGACGGACGAATCTGGGTTAGGCGGATGCCAGGAGAACGCTACCTGCCCGAATGCATAGTGCCAGCTGTAAAGTTTGGTGGAGGAGGAGTAATGGTCTGTGGCTGTTTTTCATGGTTCGGGCTAGGCCCCTTAGTTCCTCTTAACGCTACAGCATACAATGACATTCTAGACGATTCTGTGCTTCCAACTTTGTGGCAACGGTTTGGGGAAGGCCCTTTCCTGTTTCAGCATGACAATGCCCCCGTGCACAAAGCGAGGTCCATACAGAAATGGTTTGTCGAGATCGGTTTGGAAGAACTTGACTGGCATGCACAGAGCCCTGACCTCAACCCCATCGAACACCTTTGGGATGAATTGGAATGCCGATTGCGAGCCAGGCCTAATCGCCCAAACTTCAGTGCCCAATCTCACTAATGCTCGTGGCTGAATGGAAGCAAGTCCCCGGAGCAATGTTCTAACATATATTGGAAAGCATTCCCAGAAGAGTGGAGGCTGTTATAGCAGCAAAGTGGGGGACCAACTCCATATTAATGCCCATGAGTTTGGAATGAGATGTTTGACGAGCAGATGTCCACATACTTTTGGTCATGTAGTGGAAGTCGCACTGCATCATTTCTGCCTCATGCACCAATTCATTTTGTTACTCCTATGACCAGAGAATGTGAAATATTCCTTGACATTAAAAAAGACACAAGCCGCAAATAATAACAGCGCAAGTTTATCGAAATACTCATTCATTGCAGCTGCAGTGCTGGTTGTAGCGTGAGTGGAAGTAGGGAGGATGCACATTCTATGGCTTATAAAGTTTTGAACAAAGTGTCAACAGCTGAATAACAACTTAAACATTAACTTACTCATTAAAAACAGCAGCTGTTTGCTGTATTCATTGAGTCTCTCTCTAGATGGTTGTAAAAGTTTAGAAATCTCACATTATTAACTTTTCTGTGCATTCCAGGCATCCTTTTACAATCTATGGCACAAGGAAACTTTGCAGACTCGTGATCTGAGCTATCTGATTGCCAGTGTTAGTCCTATAGGTGCACTTGATTTGCTCTCTGGAACTGCCGGATAGGTGGAGGTCTACCTTCAGACACATGAAATGGTTGAAATTGTGAACACTTTGCCATCCTGGTGCTAGGGCTGCTGAATGAAGTGCACCTACCACCAACAGTGTGAAACAGATAAAACAATTGGAATGCAAGGCTTTATCATTTTTTTTGTGTGAAATGTTTGGTGATCAACTAGGAATGGTTTGAAGATCGACCAGTCGATCGCGACCGGTTGGTGACCACTGTTTTAGTTTATTCATGAAATGGATATTAGTTAACAAATACTTTTAAAAGTGCCTCATTTATGAATAATTAACTACAGTAGCTAGGTTTCCATCCAATTGGCGACAGATTTTCATGCAAAATCCGCATAAATCCGCATAAAAACAATGTGAATTTTCTCACCAGATATGTTTCTGTCAAATTGACTTTTTGCAGATTAAACTGTGCGTGATGACGTAGTGCACATACAACTACCTTTTGCGGTTAAATTCCCATCGCATTTTCAACTCTACTGATGGGTATTTTCACAACAAGTGTTGCCTTATATAGCGAGTGTGCCCACTGTTGGCTAGAGCGTGTATAGCCTACATGATGAGATTATTATGGACTAAAGAGCAATATTATTTTTATTTGTTAAACGGCAGCCAAGCATCAATGATCATGTCACCAGAATAAGACGCTTGATATTTATTGGAAAGGAGCATCAAGCTCATCACCTTTCACTTTCACCACCCTGTGAAGTTAATCATAATGTATTTAATCTGTAGCCTAATAAACTGCATGCTTTCCTGACGAGTCGTAGTGGGAGGACCACAAAACATGTTATCGTGTGACTCCAAGTTAAATTTTATATGACGGTTATTATATCAATATTTGCGCATTAAAGCGTTTATACCGACATTTCTCGCATAATTAATTTTACTGACACAAAAAGATCCCCCCTTGTCTAGTGTATTTTGTTTTGTCTACATTTGGAAAGTTTACATCAGGCATGTCAGGACATTTTTTATCCGACATGTACTTTACCTGCATAAAAAGTTTGGATGGAAACCTGGTTAGTGTTTGGAAATATGAGTATATATCCATACTACCTAAAACCTGTTATCAACATTCACTAACACTTTACATTAAGTTGCTCTTATATCTGTGTAGTAATGCTGTAATTACTACACTCACTATGAAATATTTTTATTCACTTTGTAATTGTAATGGGCTTGAGTGGTTTTAGTTATTACGCAAGTGGAATAAGGAACAGTCCCGATTCCTCATGTCCCTTACGAAAAAAGATTGCAGTTAGAGTGAAGTATAACTGCAGTATGCTGCAAATACTGTGGCCAAAATAACACTGTTTTCTTTTACTGCAGTAATTTTGCAGTGTAACTGCAGTTAGAGTTCAACTGCAGTACACTGCAGTTATTCTGCAATTACTGAGTCCAAAATACCACAGTCGACTGCAGTTACTGCAGTTTCAAAACTGCAATCTTTTTTTGTAAGGGTTACAAAAAACATTCAACTCCATTATGCAATTACTAAAGTACTATGTATTAACATGTTAATCCAATGTTGTTACTGGTGTAAATACAGTGTTTCTGCACAGGTATAAGAGCAACTTAATGTAAAGTGTTACCGAACATTCTGAGCAAAGCAATGCTTGGGAGAGAGAGATGTTCGCTGTACCTCGTCATAGTTAAAGACAGTGGCAGGAATGTTTGGTCCGAGGGGTCTGCTCGCTGTTTTCCCCTCATAAGCAGTCGGCTTCTATGAGAGGATAGGGATGAATGATGAACACCAACACAAACTCACACACACACACACACACACACAGAGAGACACACAGGCATCACTACCACTAATGTGTGATTGATATGATGCATGGTGTTATATGGGACACATACAGTACATGATGAATGAATATGGAAAATGAATGATTGGAAAAGGATTGCTCGCTGATGCTCTGCTGATCTCTGTTTAGATGAATGCATGTTCTCACTGCTTCCAGATTGTTTCACATTGTGTCACTTTACTCCACTTTCAATGTTAAAGAAGAACAAAATGGAATTGTAATACGAATGCTAGAATAGCAAATTGGAAGCAAGTGAGAATGCACCATGCAGTCTCCACTTTGTATTATTTTCAAATGTTTGAAGGACTTGGTGTTGGGTTGAAAATAATTTGTAGATTAAGAATACTTTATTTATTTATTTGAGATCACTTTGTTCCTTCGTTGGTTCCACTCGGAGCCATATTATTACTACATAACTCATTAATTTAGTTACATATTCAGTCATTCACCCAATCTATAATGGAAGGTATGGCCTTACGGAATAACAGTACAATTGAAGGGATATATCCTATACCTGTTGTACATGACCACGCATAAAATCTTCATTGAACCTAAGCTTTTTCTCAATATCGTGGAGGAGAGTTTGTTGGCTGCTACGAATGTCATCTGAAATAGGACGAGTGCTTGTAGGCAACTTCTTCAGTATGCCTTGAGGCGGCCTGTGGATGAAAACAAATACATTAGCAGAAATGAATTTTTACAATATATAAAACTGAAACACGATGAATTGAATGGTGAGGTAAGAGGTCCAAAGTTCCCGGGGTTTTCTAAAATCCGGGTCGGAGGATTCCGCCTCTGCTTATTCCCTCCCGATTCCAGCAATCCTCCAACCAGGATTAAAAAATAAATAAAAATAAAAACGGGGAACTTTGGGAATGTTTCTGGAATTCAGGAACCATAGGGTCTTACCCATGAGCACTCCTGGGCAGGCCCATAGAGTTGGTGGCTTGTGTGGTGTGTAGAGAGGGCAGGACAGAGCTGAGGAAGGCCACATGGTTCTGGATGGGGCTGGGGGTGGAGGTGCTGGAGGTCGGGGACGCTGCCTGCGGGGGCGACTGCTGTGGTAGGGTGAACACAGAGTTAATGTAGGCAGCAGGCAACAGGTTGGGGGAGGACATGAAGAAAGGTGGGCTGGTGGGTGACTTGAGGACTCTGGTGGGGAAGAGTCTGGGTTGCGGAGAGAACAGGTTGGGGTTGGAGGAGTTGAGCTCGGCAGCCAGCTTGTGGAGCAATGGAACAGGGGATTCCGTAGGAGAGGGACTCCTGACTGGAGAGAGGGGAGTCTGGGCAGTGATGAACTCCTTTGGCCTGGCGTAGTTGAAGCTCTGTGACGTGGGGGCCAGGTTGAGGAGGGAGGCGTGGGTTGTTCTGAGCAGTGGGGAGGGGGAGGTGTTCTGCATGGTTGTGGGGGCCTTGTTGAAAGCTGCAGGGATGGAGCTGAGAGATTCTGTGGGGGCTGTATTCAGATGAGGTGTGGGGGGTGTGCTAAACTTTGGTACGTGAATGGTTTTAGGCAGGGATGAGTGGGCTAAGTTCAGCTGGGAAGAATGGGTGGTGTTTTGGGACATATAGGGTGGGGATGCAGGGCTGGTGTACAGGTGTGGTGCAGGAGCAGTTCTCAGCAGAGGGGCAGACGGAGGGGTGCTCATACAAGAAGGAGCTGTCTTCAGTTGAGGAGGGGACGGCAGGGTACCCATAACTGGTGCAGGAGGGGCTGTGTTCAGTAGCGGTGCAGAGGTAGTGTTCATTGGTGGTGCAGGGCTTGTGTTTAACAGGGGTGAAGAAGTAGAATAAGAATGGGTGGCGTATGGGTTCAGTAGTGGTGCAGAGGCAATGTTTAGCAGGAGTGCAGGGGTAGCGTTCAATCTTGTCACAGGGGAGGAGTTGAGTAAGGGTGTTGGGGCTGTGGTCAGTATGGGTGCGGCGTGGGTGGTCTGCAGGGGCATGGGGGTAGATGAACGGGGCAGGCCTGACTGAGGCTGGGCTTGGGGCTGGACCTGGGGCTGGGACCCGTGGTGTGTTTGGGCTGGCCAGGCAGATGCCTCCGGTTGGCTCTGGGTGGTTCCGGTTGGCTCAGTCTCAGTCTGCTGCTGCTCCATAAGCACCTGGTTGTGCAGAAGTTGCAGCTGGACAGGGTCTCTGAGAAAACAGAGATGGAAGTTGTTGAAAACATGAAAACTTTATAAAATAAAACTAGCCTGGTCCCAGATCTGTTTATGTGGTCTTGCCAACTCATAGGTCATTGTCACGCCAAACCATAGGAGTTGGCAAGACAGTTTAAACAGATGAGACCAGGCTATAATAAAACCATATATTTGTTCAAAAGTCTTAATGTGTTCCTCACCCGAATAAATACAAATACTCTAAACACAGTTCCCTAAAAAGTAATGAGCACAATGTGTCTTTCAGGGGCAGGTGAAATAGTATGCCCTTTTAACTTATAGGAGTATCCAGAGATCTGCAACTGGAAATGTCAGTAATGTTCTGTATCAAGCTTGGTACAAGAACCTTTCATTGCATTATTCTAGCATTTTAAAAATTAGTTTTGATGCCCTTACTGAGATGCATGTTCTGTAGCTTCTTATTCAATATCAGTCACTTTGATAACGTAAAGTGAAAACCAGACAATAACTTATTGTCCATGAATCAATTATTATTATTATTAACACTATGCAAAACACTTATCTTAGAGCCAGACACATTTTTCATCCAACAGAAATATGAAAAACACAATGGCAGAATGCAAAAATTCATAGCATGTGCAAAAAGCATAGAATTACACTTACTTACGTTAAGAAATCACCAACCTCAGGTTTTTGTAGTGTTAAACTCCACATAGTTAAGCACATATGTATTCAGTAGACAAATGACAACTGGAATACAGCAGATCTGATAGGGAGCTCAAGAGGAGACCTTCCCAACTTCAATGTTTACTGTTTTAAATATAGCCCACACAACTGAAGCTGCTTTCTTCACTTCAAAACAAGGACAGCAAATGAAAAACTACATCACAAGACTGAGACCAAACCATTTTTAGAATTAATTTATAATTAAGCGTTTTCGTAACAAAATCAACTGCAGGTGCAAAATTTGGGAAACACAATGGTGATAAAACAAATGGTTTGTGGTCTGACTGGTTGTTCATTTGGCACCAAATCATGTCAGGCTGTCAGTCTTGGGATTTGTCTTAAGTTAGGATTTGTCTTAAGTTAAGTGATACTAGATAAGTTAAAAAATACTTGAGAAAAAGGAATACTCACAGTTTGGGCTTGGTCAGTACTGGAGGTGGATCCTTATTGGCCAACTGCGACATATCTTCATATGAATGGCTATTGGATGCTTCACTCTCGTTTTCCATCTCATCCTCAGGCAGTTTAAAGTGCACACGGAGGCCTGCCCTCGAGCTAGACCTGGGCCCGTTGTGGTTCACCAGAACCCCAGGCTTAAGGCAGGAGGAGTTGGGGGGATCAGGGAGGTTTATAGGGGGAGGGGGCTCAGGTTTATGGATAGGAGTCCCTTCCACCTTAGGCCTCAGACCAACGGCAGGGTCAGGTAACACTGAAAAGGCTCTGGAGACTTCCTGGTCAGTCTTGGGCATCTCACCACTGCTCTGGGGCTCAGGGTGTAGCCCGCTGGAGCTAGTAGGCAGGTCTGGGTGAGGGGTGCTCAGGTAGAGTGGGTCCAGATGAGATGTGCTGGAGCTACGGGTGCCTATCCGGTGGCTGCTGCCCAGGCTTAGTGGGTCCAGGCTGGGCATGCTGGGGCTGATAGGGTCCTGGCGCAGCATGCTGGAGCTCAGAGGGTCTAGACGGAGGGTACTGGTGCTCAGAGGTTCCAGTCGTAATGTGCTGGAGCTGAGGGGATCCAGGCGGATTGTGCTGGAGTGAGGCTTGATGCTGTTGGTGACAGGAGCCTCAGCTTGAGGCTTTAGACTGGGGAGAGTGAGATCTGATGAAGAGGGCTCTGGGACTTGTGTGGACTCCACTGTTAAAGTGCCTATGGGAGTTTTCACGTGGTTGTTGTTGGTGTTGGCATTGCCTAATGAGGTACAGAGAGAAGGATGCCTAATGAGGTACAGTGCCTAGTGAAAGTCTACACACCCCTTGCACAGTTTTCAAATTTTGCTGCCTTGAAATTACCTCTAAAAATGAATTGCATTGATGTTCCACTACTAATCTACACAACCTACTCCACATTTTCAAAGTGAATGAAAAATTATAGAAAATGTTCAAAATGAAAAATAATATTAACGTGTCTTGATTGTGTATGTCTTCACACCCCCGAGTTAATACTTGGTGGAAGCACCTTTTGGCAGCCATTACAGCTGTGTGAATTATGTTGAATAAGATTATACCAACTTTGCACAACTAATAGGGCAACATTTATCCATTGTTTTTTTTATTGTTTTTTATTGCTCAAGTTCAGCTAAATTGATGGACAGCAATATTCAGGACTGAGGCTGGACCACTCAGGAGCACTTAACACTGCTTGGAAAGCCATTCTGTTGCGTCTTTGGCATTACAATTTGTGTAATTGACCCACTGAAAAAGAAAACTAAATTCCAGGGTTAGTTATTCAGAAGACTGAGGTAGGTTTTCCTCTTACTTTTTACCTGGGCTTTGCTCCTTTCATATTTATTTTGATCCTGACAAACTCCCCAGTCCCTGCCGGTGACAAGGATACCCATAACATGATGCTTCCACCACAATACTTGAAAATACAGAGGGTTTCACTCTGTGATGTGTTGTATTTGACTCAAACTTGGTTTTTAATTTAGGCCAAAAAGTAGATTTATTTGCAATGTTGTCTTGCAGTATTACTTAACGGCCTTGTTGCAAAGAGAATTTATGATTTGGAGTGGATTTTTTAAGACAGGCTTCCTTTTTACTTTTTCAAACAGGCCAGTAATGTGGAGTGAATGCAATGTTGTTGATCCATGCACAGTTTTCTCTCAGCTTAGCCAATGAATCCTAAGCCTCATAGTGATGTCATTGAGCAGTTTACAATTGCCATCCTTGACCATACTGAAAGGGATATCCAGTGTCTTGGAATTATTTCTTAACGTCCCGTGATCTATGCCTGTCCCAAAAAAAACATTGTTTGACATTCACTATCTATTTGAGGAACCTTACAGAGACAGGTAAAGTTTTTCTTAAATCATGAGAACCACAACTTTTGCAAACAGATTGATTGTTGTGTGATTTAGTATGAAAATATTTGCTCCTGAACTTATTCAGATGTGCCACAGCAAAGGGCGTGAAGACCATAGCAATCAGTAGAGTGTGTAGAGCTGTGGATAAAAATCCCTTTTTAGAATTTTAGGCAGAAAAATGTGAAAACTATGCAAGGGTGTGTAGACTTTCACTAGGCACTGTAAACATAGTCTCCAAATATGATCTTACTAATAGAACTGTCAAGTCTAAACTTTGTTTGTAAGCCAGTGACGTTACCTTTCACCCTTAGTGCAGCGATACTGGATACAGTTCCATATTTGTTGCTTGCAGTGCAAGTGAACGTTCCAGAATCTTCAGGGAAGACTTCAGCAATGACCAAAGTGCATATTTCCTCTAAAGGGAATACAGAATTAGGGAGATAAGCGCCAGTTGAATGTAATTGTTGAAGTTCAGGTAACATGTCTGACAGATTAAAGGGCAGAGAAGGTACTATACTGAACAAAAATATAAATGTTGGTCCCATTTTTCATGAGCTGAAATTAAAGATCCCTGAAAAATCACAAAAATAAGATTTTTTCTCAAATGTTGTGCACAAATGTGCTTACATCCCTGTTAGTAAGCATTTCTCCTTTGTCAAGATAATCCATCCACCTGACAGGCGTGGCATATCAATAAGCTGATTAAACAGCATGATCATTACACAGGTGCACCTAAAAGGCCAATCTAAAATGTACAGTTTTGTCACACAACGCCACGTCTCAAGTTTTGAGGCAGCATGCAGTTGGCATTCTGACTGCAGGAATGTCCACCAGAGCTGTTGCCAGATAATTTAATGTTAATTTTTCGACCATAAGCCGCCTCCAACGTCATTTGAGAGAATTTGGCTGTAGGTCCAACTGGCCTCCCAACCGCAGACCACGTGTAACCACCCCAGCCCAGGACCTCCACATCCGGCTTCTTCACCTGCGGGATGGTCTGAGACGAGCCACCCGGACAGCTAATGAAACTGTGGGTTTGCACAACTGAAGAATTTCTGCACAAACTGTCAGAAACCGTCATCCTCACCAGGGTTTTGACCTGACTGCAGTTCGACGTCGTAACCAACTTTATTGGGCAAATGTTCACCTTCGATGGCCACTGGCAAGCTGGAGAAGTGTGCTCTTCACGGATGAATCCCGGTTTCAACTGTACCAGGCAGATGGCAAACGTTGTGAACAAAGTGCCCCATGGTGGCGGTGGGGTTATGGTATGGGCAGGCATAAGCTACGGACAACGAACACCATTGCATTTTATTGATGGCAGTTTGAATGCACACAGATACCGTAACAAGATCCTGAGGCCCATTGTCGTGCCATTCATCCGGCCCATCACGTTGTGTTTCAGCAAGGATCTGTACACAATTCCTGGAAGTTGAAAATGTCCCAGTTCTTCCATGGCCTGCATAGTCACCAGACATGTTACCCATTGAACATGTTTAGGATGCTCTGGATCGATGTGTACGACAGCGTGTTCCAGTTACCGCCTATATCCAGCAACTTCGTACACCCATTGAAGAGGAGTGGGACAACATTCCACAGGCCACAATCAACAGCATGATCAACTATATGCAAAGGAGGTGTGTCGCGCTGCATGAGGCAAATGGTGATCACACCAGATACTGACTGGTTTTCTGATCCATGCCCCTACTTTTTTTTTTAAAGGTATCTGTGACCAACAGATACATATCTGTATTCCCAGTCATGTGAAATCCATAGATTAGGGCCTAATGAATTGATTTCAATTGACTGATTTCCTTATATGAACTGTAACTCAGTAAAATCTTTGAAATTGTTGCATGTTGCTTTTTGTTCAGTGTATAACAGCATGGTAGCTGTACTATGTAGCTAACCTACTGTGTGTACAGTATATGCACAGTGAAACAGACAGTAAGCCTTTGCATTGTAAAATGTCTGCATTTCTATATACTGTATAATTATTGCTTAATATATTGTATTTTCTAAGATACAGAGAACTAATACACATTCATATAATGCATATGCTGTAAGTGAGCTGTTTTTCCAATGGCACAGCAGCTACATTTGCTTCCAGTCACGAGTGATTCTCTGTGTTTCAGACACTCTGAAAGGCTCTGTAACCATGATAGTTCAACAGACACAGGTTGTTAAGGTTCCTTTTATAAGGTTGAGTTTTAGGAGGAGAAGCAAACTGGCTTTTACGCAGAGGAGTTATAGGAGCTACAGCCCCAGCCAGATACTGTTACCATCTGGGAAGAGTAATGGTGTACACTTTTTCAAAGAAAACATCACCTAGGCTACAGTGTAGGACTGACTTTTCATTTTTGTTATTGTATCTAATACTTGTATATTGTGAATATATTTACATTTCAGTAACACATCACACAAAATACTTTGATACATGCAGAAATATGCTCCTTCTTAAGATTTTACAATTGTATTAATTGTACTATGACAGTCTCTCATTTGCATAATACGTACCTAATTCAGCCATGGATCGAGGCTCTAAAAATGAAGAAAATGCTAATATATATTTAATTGTTTGAAATCAGAGCTTTCTGCTCTTCATGCTGCCTTCTAAAAAAACGTGCACTTTTTTGGGGATACTTTAACTGTTTTCAGAACGCTTACATTTATTAACTTCAAAGATAGCTCCATATCAGTGACAATTTACTAACAAACTAATAAAAGAGAATTTAGGTAAATCACAGAAAATACCACAAGATGAATGTACATTATTCCAACACATAGTAAAGGAGTGAAGGTCTTGGACTTACTCTTCTGCAGGATCCTGAAGTCAGGGGAATCCTCTATGACGGTTCCTTCTCTGTACCAGTCCACCTTGGGGGAGGGCACCCCTTTAACACAGCACTCTAGCACCACCAGCTGGTTCTCAGACACCAATAGGTCCTGCAGACTCTGAGGGGCCAAGTAGTCATACGTTTATCATCACACACAAAACATACAGTTTCTTAAGTACATGAGCTTTAAAAATGTACCATATAAGACAATATCATATTTTGTTCGATGTTTAATGATGAAATTGACATTGTACATGTCTTCTAATTATTAATAGTGTGTATATGATATTAGTGTGGTACCTTTGTGAAAACAGGGGCAGCCATGATAGGCCTCCCGTCTAGACCTTGAGGATAGACATCAAGACCTAGAGTATAGCTGTCTCCATTTAGGTTCTGAAAAAAAAAGGATTCCATCAATTAAAGTGGAACTGACACCGTTTTAACTACCGTGCAGAAATGACATTAAACAAACACAATCATACAAACACATAATCATAATATCGGTCTAAAATATCAAATTCACATTTTATGCTTAAAAACCAACTTTATAAGAGTTTTTAAAAATAGGTTATATTTGACTCAAAATTCCATTACATAGAGTAAGGTATTGCTGGCCGAATTAAATGGATGCAATCAATGCATGATTAATAAAATGTATCAATAAATCGCTAGATAGTCTAATAAATATTGCTATCAGGTCATAAATCACAATTGCCTCCAGCAATTCAGGGGATGAATTGTTTCAGATTCACAGACCCAATATTTTGGACAAAAACAGATGGAAAGGGCAGTGATTGGGAATCTCAATTAAATCAATCTAGCTATGCGGTAAGTGCAACGGCTATAGCTTATCTATTTATGTAGGCCTACTTATTTAGCAAACTAGCAATATGGCTTGATAGCCAAGTCATTTAGCAATCTAGAACCTAAAATGACACGGAGCCTTGTACTGTAGCTAGTTAGTTATCTAGCAGCTGGAAGGATGCATGTTATCACCAGGGGCCTCATTTATAAGCATTGCGTATGCACAAAACATGCCCTAAAACACGCATGCGCCAGTTGGCATTTATAAAAACTGAACTTGATGTGAGAATGTGCTTATCCTCCCACAAACTTTAGACCATGCGTATGCACAGTTTCTATTGGTTCTATTAGATAGGCTATTATAATTTCATTTTTTTGCTATATGCATCTGAAAGGGAGCGCAGTTTATAACATACAGTAGAATTAAACAGGTGAACAGACAGTTGATCTTTTGCATTGAAGTGTGTGAACTACCACTGTAAGTAGGCCTAATGTAGTAAAAAAAAAAAATCTAAGTAGACAATGTTTGAGAATTCGGGTGCAGTGCAGCATATGGGTTTGGGGAAAAAGTAGGCTAAATGCAAAACATTATTGAATTAAAACAATCTGTTACAGGTCGACAACATTTTGCAATTGTTTTTGTCCATTAGAAACGGTCAGATACAGCAAATGTCACTGCAAAAGAAAACATTCTGCCAACACCCCCAAAGACATTTGATCACAAGTTCGCAATTGCTATTTCTTTTAGATACCAAAAAAGTGTTAAACAAATCAAAATATATTTTATATTTGAGATTCTTCAAATAGCCACCCTTTGCCTTGATGACAGCTTTGCACACTCTTGGCATTCTCTCAACCAGCTTCACCTGGAATGCTTCTCCAACAGGCTTGAAGGAGTTCCCACATATGCTGAGCACTTGTTGGCTGCTTTTCCTAAACTGAGAGATTTCCTTTGTCCAAAGTTCGGATGACAAGAGGCAAAGCACGCGCCTTTTGTTAGACGAACCCAGTACCGTATCTATTAAGTATTTTGTATTAACTCCCCATATAATTGTTTAAGTATATTCTTACATCCTGAATTACTTGATACCAGAGAAACTCATCATAACAGTTACATTTAGGAGTTAGGTTAAAGGCTTAAGGTTAGGGTTAGGGGAAGGGTTAGTTAACATGCTAAGTAAGTAGTTGCAAAGTAGCTAATAAGTTGTAAGTAGTTGAAAAGTTGCTAATTAGCTAAAATGCTAAAGTTGTCCGTGATGAGATTCGAACTCACAACTTTTGGGTTGCTAGACATTCGCATTATTGCCTTTAGCACACCTGATTCTAATAATTACCTGGTTAATAAGATGAATCCAGCCTGGTCTCATAGACTAGACATAACATAGTAAACGTAAATCCGGGACACTTTAGTATGATATGTTACGTTTGGTATGGTTACATAAGACAGATGGTTACTTGATTAGGGTTGGAGCGAAAACCTACAGGACGGTAGCTCTCTCCAGGAACAAGGTTGGAGAGCGCTAGTCTAGTTTGAAAGGGAGGATAAGCACTTTCTCACATCAAGTTCAGTTTTTATAAATGCCAACTTCTGCATGAAAACTGGAGCATGCTTGTTTTGGGGCATATTTTGTGGTACGCAACATTTATACTGTAAATGAGGCACCAGGACTCTACATAGACCGGTGCGCCATAACCAATCACAGTTAGAGTAGGCCTATTATGCAAATAGCCATGCCATACGGGCATGTGCCCTTCACTTTGATGTTGCTTGTAACGCCAGGGTAGTGGGTTCGATCCCCGGGACCACCCATACACAAAAATGTATGCACGCATGACTGTAAGTCGCTTTGGATAAAAGCTTCTGCTAAATGGCATATTATTATTATGTTGCACTGCACTGGACTTTGTTTTAGATCATTGCTTAGAAAGCAGTAGCAAAAGTCACAAAATAAACCTGAATGGTTTCTGCAAATACTGTAAATACTGTATATAAATACCACTGGAGTCTTACTTTTGGGAACTTTCAAGTCCTATTGATTAAACAACCAACAGGTAGGCTATATTCCCTCAGCCCATGCAGAACAACAACAACCACCATGTTAGCCTGAGCCAGATGAACTAAAATCTAGCACAGGGGACGATAGATAAACCCTCTCAAACTTTTTCAGCGCTTAGTTGACAGTCCAAATTGCACTGTGACTATGATTGGGGGGAAAGTCTACCACTCACCTAGGCTACTTGTCCAGGGCAGGGGCCTCATTTATAATCGTTGCATACATTTCACACTAAATATCTGTGTGTGTCATTTCTGAAAAGTCTGCGCATGTACACAAATATTGAGATTAATAAACTTGGCAAACGCCACACATACACATGTTTCCCCTTATAAATCAGACCTGTCATAAAAAGGTGAGAGCGTGAACGAGCATTAAAACTCTGCCTGGAAAACTCCCTCCATTCACCTTTTATGGTGACAATGACGTCCTTTATTTTCTGCATAATTTGAAATTATTGGAATTAGGCCACAGCAGTTTCTATAAGAAAGAACAATGGCAATTTTGATCACATTTCTGCAGTGGTTCTCAAACCTAGGGGACGTGAGGGGTCGGCAGGGGGCGTCGCGGGGTGGGAACCCCCCCCAAAAAACTCAGTCCAGCTTTCAACTCTTGAAAGTTGTAATAGGACAATGCACAAGGTGCAATTTTGAAATTGGGTAGTGCATCATCAGTTTTCCTCTTGTCATGTCAGTCATTGCATACCTAGAGAACTATTTATAACTTGTCAGAAATGTCCAGATCAATTAGCCCATGTCAGCTAATGTTTTTTAGCTAGGTTTTTTAGCCCATAGATTTTGTAGTAATGTTCGAGTCACTCAAATATCACATTAATACACATTTGATATGGCAAAATGTATAGAATTGCAAGAAAATTAGCTTTAAAACGGCTAAATTTCCTCTGCACCCCATGACAAAATGTGTACAAATGTAGGAAATAACCTTTCTACCTGCAACATTTTCTCTCCGCCAACAAGAGGGATGTGAACAGTTTGTGTCATGAACAGTGCTTGTGCCCATAGAAATCGGCGTGGCGCGTACATGGGATGTTCCCCAATGCTGGAAGGGGAGCCGGAGTGAAAAGGTTTGGGAACCCCTGATGTAGAGGTGTGCGCAGGATGTTTTGATATTTTGTAGTGACTTTTTCAAACTAAATGCATGCTGCCTATAGAGCGAATGCCTGTGCATTCTGCAAGATTGATTGTATATTGAAAACAATTTAAAAGTAGGCTAAATGCTACACTTCTATGCAAAAGACGAATTGTTGTTCAGTATTTAGTTTATCAACATTGGGTTTCTATGTCCTGAATTCTGAAACAATTGCAGTATTTACAGTAGCATACAGTGAGGGAAAAAAGTATTTGATCCCCTGCTGATTTTGTACGTTTGCCCACTGACAAAGAAATGATCAGTCTATAATTTTAACGGTAGGTTTATTTGAACAGTGAGAGACAGAATAACAACAAAAGAATCCAGAAAAATGCATGTAAAAAATTTTATAAATTTATTTGCATTTTAATGAGGGAAATAAGTATTTGACCCCCTCTCAATCAGAAAGATTTCTGGCTCCCAGGTGTCTTTTATACAGGTAACGCGCTGAGATTAGGAGCACACTCTTAAAGGGAGTGCACCTAATCTCAGCTTGTTACCTGTATAAAAGACACCTGTCCACAGAAGCAATCAATCAATCAGATTCCAAACTCTCCACCATAGCCAAGACCAAAGAGCTCTCCAAGGATGTCAGGGACAAGATTGTAGACCTACACAAGGCTGGAATGGGCTACAAGACCATCGCCAAGCAGCTTGGTGAGAAGGTGACAACAGTTGGTGCGATTATTCGCAAATGGAAGAAACACAAAATAACTGTCAATCTCCCTCAGCCTGGGGCTCCATGCAAGAACTCACCTTGTGGAGTTGCAATGATCATGAGAACGGTGAGGAATCAGCCCAGAACTACACGGGAGGATCTTGTCAATGATCTCAAGGCAGCTGGGACCATAGTCACCAAGAAAACAATTAGTAACACACTACGCGGTGAAGGACTGAAATCCTGCAGCGCCCGCAAGGTCCCCCTGCTCAAGAAAGCACATATACAGGGCCGTCTGAAGTTTGCCAATGAACATCTGAATGATTCAGAGGAGAACTGGGTGAAAGTGTTGTGGTCAGATGAGACCAAAATGGAGCTCTTTGGCATCAACTCGCCGTGTTTGGAGGAGGAGGAATGCTGCCTATGACCCCAAGAACACCATCCCCACCGTCAAACATGGAGGTGGAAACATTATGCTTTGGGGGTGTTTTTTCTGCTAAGGGGACAGGACACCTTCACCGCATCAAATGGACGATGGACGGCGCAATGTACCGTCAAATCTTGGGTGTGAACCTCCTTCCCTCAGCCAGGGCATTGAAAATGGGTAGTGGATGGGTATTCCAGCATGACAATGACCCAAAACACACGGCCAAGTCAACAAAGGAGTGGCTCAAGAAGAAGCACATTAAGGTCCTGGAGTGGCCTAGCCAGTCTCCAGACCTTAATCCCATAGAAAATCTGTGGAGGGAGCTGAAGGTTCGAGTTGCCAAACATCAGGCTCGAAACCTTAATGACTTGGAGAAGATCTGCAAAGAGGAGTGGGACAAAATCCCTCCTGAGATGTGTGCAAACCTGGTGGCCAACTACAAGAAACGTCTGACCTCTGTGATTGCCAACAAGGGTTTTGCCACCAAGTACTAAGTCATGTTTTGCAGAGGGGTCAAATACTTATTTCCCTCATTAAAATGCAAATCAATTTATAACATTTTTGACATGCGTTTTTCTGGATTGTGTTGTTGTTATTCTGTCTCTCACTGTTCAAATAACCCTACCATTAAAATTATAGACTGATCATGTCTTTGTCAGTGGGCAAACGTACAAAATCAGCAGGGGATCAAATACTTTTTTCCCCTCACTGTACATACTGGGAGGGAGCTGGGTCAATACACTGTTCAACTGTTCACATGGTAAATCCGACTGTATATTATAGCCTAAACCGCGCCGCCTATGGGATAGCAAAACTTGAAATATACAGTAGCCTATCTATACTAGGCCAATTAAATGAGAGATGTGCACTGTAATTTGTTGTATGGCTACTTCAGAATACGAACCCATCACGGCCACAAAAGGTGAGGAATTTATTCTGCAATGGTTATGAATATAAAATTGGAAAAATATTCCCATGTCTAATTATTTTAGATTCTACAAATAAAACACAGATTTCCGCTATTCTCACTAACGGCAAATGGCTGCATTCTTATTCATATGTTTACCTTTTTTTTATGAATAAGCTTTTCATCATATCCCCCATTTGCACAAAATACTTACTTGCCAGCTCGCAATACAATATTTCAACCACTAGCAGATGTGTTTACACATGGTCTAAAGTTTGCAGGGAGGTGAGCACATTTTTATAAATGCGAACTTTTGCGTGAAAATTGGCGCACAAACATTTTGAGGTATATTTTGTACGTACACACGGTTTATAAATGAGGCCCCAGGCCTGGACAAGATTGACACGTTTTTATTTATTTACTGCACTGTCTCTTATTTACCCAAACGCATGGCCACTTTCCCATTCATATTACTATAGAATTTTCACAAATACCTGACTGTCATTTCCAAACATTCTATGAATGTATGAATACATGAAGATAAGCATATCCATGTGCTCGCTTGTCACACACACAGAAAAATGCATCATATTCTTCCTGAGGGTGTATATGAACAGATTTTAATACCATTTAATGTTCCACTTTAAGTAACCAAACACAAATACACATTGTCAAGTACTGTGTGTGTCGTGTAAAAGATCACTGAGCAGAAAGGAACGTTTTTGACACGTGCAGTATTTCAGATATCATGAATTTCCATTTAAATGTTTGCAGTGTATTCAGGAGCCAGGGCGTTTTGAGCAGAATATTACCTCAGCTAGAGTCGTCTGTATGGCAGCCACCTGGGCAGGCAGTGTAGAGGAGACCACCTGGGTCAGCGGTAGTGCCGTGGTAGAGACTGTCTGTGTCGGGAATGGTGTGGACATCACTGGGACAGGTGACGGTGTTGGCAGTGACAGTGTTGACACCTCCCGCGCCACTACTGACGCCGTGTCCACAGGTGGTAGATCTAGAGTAGAGACTACCTGGACAGATAACGGTGCCGACGTCTCCTGGGCAGGGGACAATGTAAACACCACCTGGGTGGATGGTGCTGTTGTCACCTCCATAATAGGAAGGACATTAGTAGCCACCTGGACAGGTACAGATGCAGTGACTACCTGGCTAGAAGGCAGTGAGGTGGCCTCCTGTGGCTGTTCTTCAGTGCAGACGGTTGTGTCATCCTCATACACAGACACAACACTGAACACTGGAGGTAAAGATGGGGCACCCGGCTGAGCTGGGGTCCTCTGCAGCCTTTAGGTTTACAAGAGAAACAGGATACATTGTAACTAACCAGGTCCCACTGGGCTAAAATGATTTTTACAGTGTTGAAGTTACATACAGTGCCTTCAGAAAGGATTCATATCCCTTGACTTATTCCACATTTTGTTGTGTTACAGCCTGAATGGATTCAATTGTTTTTTATTTCTTCACCCATCTACACACAATACCCCATAATGACTCAATTACATTTTACATTTTAGTCATTTACAGTTAGTGATTGCATACATTATTATTTTTTCATACTGGCCCCCGGTGGGAATCGAACCCACAACCCTGGCATTGCAAACGCCATGCTCTACCAACTGAGCTACATCCCTGGGCCAATTGTGCGCCGCCCCATGGGTCTCCCGGACGCGGCCGGCTACGACAGAGCCTGGATTCGAACCAGGATCTCTGGCCTTAGACCACTGCGCCACTCGTATCTCATTTACATAAGTATTCACCCTCACTCAATACTTTGTAGAAGCACCTTTGGCAGCAATTACAGCTGTGAGTCTTTCTGGGTAAGTCTCTAAGAGCTGTCCACATCTGGATTGTGCAACATTTGCCCATTATTCTTTTCAAAATTCAAATTGGTTGTTGATCATTGCTAGGATAACAATTTTCAGGTCTTGCCATAGATTTTCAAGTAGATTTAAGTCAAAACTGTAACTCGGCCACTCAGGAACATTTACTGTCTCCATGGTAAGAACCGCCAGTGTAGATTTGGCCTTGTGTTTTAGGTAATTGTCCTGCTGAAAGGGGAATTCATCTCCCAGTGTCTGCTGGAAAGCAGACTGAACCAGGTTTTCCTCTAGGATTTTGCCTGTGATTAGCACCATTTCTTTTTTATCCTGAAAAACTCCCCAGTCCTTAACGATTACAAGCATACCCATAACATGATTCATCCACCACTATGCTTGAAAATATGGAGAGTGGTACTCAGTAATGTGTTGTATTGGATTTGCCCCAAACATAACACTTTGTATTCAGGACAAAAAGTTAATTGCTTTGCCACATATTTTGCAGTATTACCTTTAGTGCCTTGTTGCAAACAGGATGCATGTTTTTGAATATTTGTTATTCTGTACAGGCTTCCTTCTTTTCACTCTGTCAATTAGGTTAGTACTGTGGAGTAAATACAATGTTGTTGAGCCGCCATCAGTTCTCCCATCACAGCCATTAAACTCTGTAACTGTTTTGAAGTCACCATTGGCCTCATAGTGAAATCCCTGAGCGATTTCCTTCCTCTCCAGCAACTGAGTTAGGAAGGATGTCTGTATTTTTGTAGTGACTGGGTGTATTGATACATCAGCCAAAGTGTAATTAATAACTTCACTATGCTCAAAGGGATATTCAATGTCTGCCTTTTTTTTACCCATCTACCAATAGGTGCCCTTCTTCTTTGCGAGGTATTGGAAAACCTCCCTGGTCTTTGTGGTTGAATCTGTGTTTGAAATTCACTGCTCGACTGAGGGACCTTACATATCATTTTATGTGTGGCATACAGAGATGAGGTAGTCATTCAAAAATCATGTTAAACACTATTACTGCACACAGAGTGAGTCCATGCAACTTATTATGTGACTTGTTAGGCACATTTTTACTCCCGAACTTATTTAGCTTGCCATAACAAAGGGGTTAAATACTTAGTGACTCAAGACGTCAGCTTTTCATTTTTTATTAATTTGTAAAAAACTCTAAAAATGTAATTCCACTTTGACATTATGGGATATTGTGTGTAGGCCAGTGACAAAAAATATCAATTTAATCAATTTTACATTCAGGCTGTCACACAACAAAATGTGGAAAAAGTCAAGGGGTGTGAATACTTTCTGAAGGCACTGTATGTGCTACACTGAGGCCTGTGACATTACAGAATGTAAACCTTTGAAGCTTGCTTTTCCTACCCAATTAAATGTTTTCCAATCATATTTTGAGTAGAGGAAGAGTACTCACTGTGCAAGTTCAAAATGTTGTTCCCCCTCCGAATCTGTAGAGGAGGCACCTGTATAACATAAGAGGGTGATATGCAGCACACTAGTAGGGATGATCTTAGTATGATTGTCTATATTCATATATTTTAACTTAAAATTAAACATTTGAACCAGAGGAGATACTAATTAATCAGCAGTAATACTTTTTAGGTTATATAGTAAGTATTTATGTGACGATGCACTCTAGATTGGCCACTTGACTTGAAGGTGAAAACTCAATGGTCACCTTCGATGTAGATTTCGGCAGACGTCGAGTCGGTGCCGTAGAAGTTGGATGCAAAGCAAGAGTACCGCCCTGTGTCTTCCTCGAATGCCTCGGCAATGATCAGAGAGTGCAACTCGCCGTTGTTGATGATCTGAATGTCAGGGCAGTTCTCCAGCTCCTTCCCCTCACAAAACCACCTGGAAAGCCACACAATGCATACGCCCCTTTTAGTGTCAGCACATTAGAGATTCAGCCCATTGTGCATAATCATTGTATAAAATCTAACTGCTTCAACTTCAAAATATACACTGAGTCTACAAAACATTAAGGACACCTTCCTAATATTGAGTTGTATCCCCTTTTGACTTCAATGCTTCCCAGAGTTGTGTCAAGTTGGCTGGATGTCCTTTGGGTGGTGGACCATTCTTGATACACACAGGAAACTGTTGAGCGTGAAAAACCAAGCAGCGTTGCAGTTCTTGACACACTCAAACCGGTGCGCCTGGCACCTAATACCACACCCCGTTCAAAGGCACTTAAAACTTTGGTCTTGGCCATTCACCCTCTGAATGGCACACATACACAATCCATGTCTCAATTGTCTCAAGGCTTAAAAAGAATTATTTAACCTGTCTCCTAACCTTCATCTACACTGATTCAAGTGGATTTAAAAAGAGCAGGTGGTCCTAATGTTTTGTACACTCAGTGTAAGTTAAATGAAGTTACATCAACTTAGAAAATCAAGTTGAGTTGACAAAACGAAAAAACGAACAACCTTTCTGTATTGGCAACTCTCCACCAGTCATAACTCATTAGTGTATTGACCCAGCTCCCTCCCAGTATGTACAGTGAGGGAAAAAAGTATTTGATCCCCTGCTGATTTTGTACGTTTGCCCACTGACAAAGACATGATCAGTCTATAATTTTAATGGTAGGTTTATTTGAACAGTGAGAGACAGAATAACAACAAAAAAATCCAGAAAAACACATGTCAAACCAATTGTTTTCTTGGTGACTATGGTCCCAGCTGCCTTGAAATCATTGACAAGATCCTCCAGTGTAGTTCTGGGCTGATTCCTCACCGTTCTCATTATCATTGCAACTCCACGAGGTGAGATCTTGCATGGAGCCCTAGGCCGAGGGAGATTGACAGTTATTTTGTGTTTCTTCCATTTGCGAATAATCGCACCAACTGTTTTCACCTTCTCACCAAGCTGCTTGGCGATGGTCTTGTAGCCCATTCCAGCCTTGTGTAGGTCTACAATCTTGTCCCTGACATCCTTGGAGAGCTCTTTGGTCTTGGCCATGGTGGAGAGTTTGGAATCTGATTGATTGATTGCTTCTGTGGAAAGGTGTCTTTTATACAGGTAACAAACTGAGATTAGGAGCACTCCCTTTACATTTACATTTTAGTCATTTAGCAGACGCTCTTATCCAGAGCGACTTACAGTTAGTGAATTTTTTTTATTTTTTTTATACTGGCCCCCCATGGGAATCGAACCCACAACCCTGGCGTTGCAAACGCCATGCTCTATCAACTGAGCTACATCCCTGCCGGCCATTCCCTCCCCTACCCTGGACGACGCTGGGCCAATTGTGCACCGCCCATGAGTCTCCCGGTCGCGGCCGGCTGCGACAGAGCCTGGATTCGAACCAGGATCTCTAGTGGCACAGTTAGCACTGCGATACAGTGCCTTAGACCACTGCGCCACTTAAGAGTGTGCTCCTAATCTCAGCTCGTTACCTGTATAAAAGACACCTGGGAGCCAGAAATCTTTCTGATTGAGAGGGGGTCAAATACTTATTTCCCTCATTAAAATGCAAATCAATTTATAACATTTTTGACATGTGTTTTTCTGGATTTTTTTGTTGTTATTCTCTCTGTCACTGTTCAAATAAACCTACCATTAAAATTATAGACTGATCATTTCTTTGTCAGTGGGCAAACGTACAAATCAGCAGGGGATCAAATACTTTTTTCCCCACACTGTATGTCTGGCCAACTACCAGTAAGTGTAGCTACAATCAGGTCAGGGGAAGAAGTTCTGGTGAGTTCTCTTTCACCGTAAAACAAGCCACCACCACACCACCGTACCATGCCAAATGAGCCCTTAGTTACCACTTGCTATATGGCAGTAGTGATTGATGTAAAGTCTAAATGAATAATGTTCTGAAGATGACAAATATACTACTGTTCCTCACTGACTAGTTTAAAACCACCTCAACTAACTTCATTATTTTCTGTAAAAAAGTAACTCTAGTTTTGTATTCTCTGCTTCAATATTAAGTTAAAGATGTTCAAGTGTGAATTTACATGAGGTTGTCTTTCAGGCTTCGTGTAAAGACTGGCTAGTATTTCCAGTATGATATCAATGGAGTCCTCGACCTGCTAGATTGGCAACTCCATAAAGACACTTGTTAGATCAGAGAGATGATTTAACGGCCAAATACTAACCCTTTATTACTGTACTAACTGGTATCCTCTCATACCCTGTGTACTAAAAAGCCGACCAGCCACCATGTCTCTGTAGATCTATTTTGGGTGGATGAGGCAATGATGCAGTGTAACATATGTAATATAAACATGTAGGCAAGAGTGTCTACGATCTCTTAGCAGAGGTCACCATACATATGTATAGGTCAGCTATGGGCCTAAATGATCCAGCAAGAATGAATGTTCTGCATACACAGAAAAATACAAAATAAAGTTGAGACTATGTAGTCAAATATAAATACTCAGTATTACAGAATCCCCCTGCCAAGAGCGCTGTGGGACTAATTTCCAGCGTGTGTGTTGTTGTTTATGTCTGGCTGGAGCTGCGGTCTGACTCACCCATCCTCACCCTTTCTCCCCTCAGGTGAGAGATCGATATCTCTTCCAGCTCATGGTTTCAGCCAATCGGACAATAGGCATGTGTCTCACCCCTGTGCACGTTCTAGCCATGCAGTCTCTCCAGTTCCTGATTGGCAAGCCAGCCTGACCCACACTCTCCAAGGGAGTAGATATTGCCGTACCTGAACGGTGTTATTCCAGTCTGTGAGTGTGGGTGTACATATGTGCGTTACTACAAAAACGATGTACATCCCCATGTTTATCTTCTCCTGTGTGTGATTAAAGTTCCTGTGTGTGATTAAAGTTCCTGTGTGTGTGTTAACTCTTGGGTTGCTTTATTCCCCTCTAACCGGGGGCGGTGTCAGTGAGTCACAAACCAGTAAAATACGTAGAGCCGAGTCGCTCTCTTTCACTCAATATTGGACAAAGTTTAAAATCAAACAAATCAGCATGCAATACACAGTATAAGCTGAGGATGTTCTGAACACTTTTAAAGGATTGCAAGTCTGCTACTCCATCTCTAACAAACCAGGAAGCCTATCAAAAGGATTTGCTGGATAGTTCAGCAAAGGTTCGAGTTTATTCCAAAGAGAGGTGGTCTTCTTTGGTGTGCCCCCTAGAGAAGAACAGATTCAATAGAAATCCCAATTGAGATTCTTATCAAGAAAGATGATCCAGTGTCCAAAATGGCCCTGATGCAATCACCCACTTTGCTATGCCATACTCCTGATGTGTGGGTGATATGTGGCTGATACTCGGGCGCAATGTACATATAGGAGACATCACTGGAATGTACTGCCTAAGGTCCATCTGGCAAGGCATGTCAGTTCTAATGAGTAAGGGTCTGATTTGAAAATATGAGTAGTAGAGGAGCTGGGTAATCTGCCTGGCTGCTGCACCTGTCAAGGCTATTTTCCCTCCAGACTCCAGCCCTGGAGAGGAAAGCCCCCCCAACAGAACACCCCAAAGCCTAGGGGGGCTATGACTGTGTGTCCCAATCGCACATACACACAATACTAAACATAGACTGAGAATATGCACAATACTATTCCCTGACACACCAGAGCTACTAAATCCTAGGAGGTGATACAGAGCACACTTAAAACTAGAATCCTTAATTGAAACAAGAACAAAGTGGTCACCCTGCCTCTGTTTTTGTAAAAAGCTGAGGGATGGGCCTGGAGAAATGTAACCACTTTCAAATTAATAGACAGATATATGGATGCAAGGACTGACCATCCATGATATCAAAATGATAGTTTTAACCATGTTTTGAGGCTATACAGTGTTTGTTTATATTTACATTGTTTAAAAACATTGTAGTAAAACAAGCTTATATTTTGGGTTCTGATGGGGTACGACAGTTGAACTAAGCTTATGAGGCATTTATAAGATATATTCTTCAAGAATCAATGGGTATATTTAATTAATGTATAAGTCAAAAATGGATGTCGCAAATAAGGATTCTAGCTTTAATACTGAGAGAACATAAGCATGACATCAAGAACTAACCCAACTTAACACACCAACTGTGTACAGTGCCAAGCTCTAACAGAATTACATGACACACCATATGAAATACTAAGCTAAGAGGCAAACACTCCTTAATATACTGATAACGCTAAAACATCTAGTGAGCAAAACATGAACTCATACACAAGTATAATGCACTGACAATCTATAGATCCTTAATACATTCACACCATTCACACAATACAAATAATCAGACAACAGAACAGCACCAAGAACTGACATAAAACACCATACAACATTTCAAATACACACCTATCATATCAGCTGTTTTACCAAATCCTACTTTAATGTTTCTAACAACTCAGGCAATTCCATTCCACCACAAGACACTGTGCTCAGTGCCACTGCCAGTCCCGAAACGGTGGTGAGAAACATCACAGTGACAGGAGCGTGTCAGTAGGTTAGCATTGTCCAGTGGGACCTTCAGCTGGCCCTCGCTTATTCTGACCGCTCAGGTGACCTCTTTGTCTATCAATTCAAGCAGGAATCTAGTTCATTCTCAAACCCTGACAACTGTTCAAACTACTATACCACATTCCGTTACTGTTATTTCTTGGCAAATAGGCCGCAATCTGTGTTCAGATATTTAAGAACATTATTATGAGCTGATAAAAACACACTGTCATTTAGAGTGCTGCACACACTGGCACACAAACACTGCAATGATTTAATGTTCCAGACATAAAACAGAATACACACAGCACTTTGTGTCAGCTGTTTGCTAGCATCACCTGTCAAACATGGAGATCTCCCTTGATGTCTTAGAAAACAGCAAACTTTGTCTTGACTGTCCCATACAGAGCTTTGTCACAATCGATATCTATCTTATGACAAACACAGTGACAGTTTTATTTTCCAACCAATAGATGATCTATACTTAGGAATTGTGACACTTCTCTGGGTTTACTGTACCCTCTCACTAAAAGTACTGGTGTCCATGGGTGTCAGTATATAAATACCAGCTCAGTATCATGAATATCCCAAGGCATATTTGAATATTTGCACATTTAAGCCCAAACAAGCAAATATTACTGTGTACCCTGAGATCATTGACAAAATACCTGTAAAAACAGAATTTCTTACTGGCCTTCTCGTCTTTGAAACAAAAGAAAGCTATACATTTCAAGATGTGTTGAATAGCTACTCCAGAAAAAAGACTGGTATTCATATTCGACAATGTCAACAACATTCCTAATATCATAATTGTCTCACTTTGCATCTTATTTCTCACTCACCCTTGATTCCTGCACTTCTTTCATATGTCCATTTAGATTATGTCTTCAACAGTAAAATAATGAAATTGTACTCAGATCCTGCTAAGTGGTGAGTAATCTCCTGTTTTCAGGCTCATAGTGCCTTCGGAAAGTATTCAGACACCTTGACTTTTTCCACATTTTGTTACATTAGTCTTGAGAGGATCTGCAGAGAAGATACAGGTGTGCCAAGCTTGTAGCGTCATACCCAAGAAGACTCGAGGCTGTAATCGCTGCCAAAGGTGCTTCAACAAAGTACTGATTAAAGGGTCTGAATACTTATGTAAATATATATATTTTTAATGATGTTTTATTTATTTTGCAAACATTTCTAAAAAACCTGTTTTTGCTTTGTCATTATGGGGTATTGTGTGTAGATTGAACAGGGAAAAAACTATTTAATCTATTTTAGAATAAGGCTGTAACGTAACTAAATGTGGAAAAAGTCAAGGGGTCTGAATACTTTCCGAATGCACTGTATGCTCCACTGCTTTGATTGGTGTAAGATAATGAAAAGGGACCCGCAAAGAAAATACGAGGAACTTATAGTTACATGTAATTTGCGGCCTACATGATCATGAGCAAAGTCATTGTAGCCTATAATTTCACTTCCCCTGTGAGAACCATGAGCAGGGGCTGACTTGGCTTTGCTGTACCGCAACCGAAGCCTGCCAGCAAGCCTACCTACCAAAGGTTGCACCGTGTCCATTACAATTTAGAAAAACACATACCAGCTATCTTTCAATATTTATCCATATTACCAGAGCATCATCTTATTCTTTCAAACTATTTCTATGGCAGATTCGCAGTCGCAGACTTTGGAGATAGCAATAGACGGCGATGTCCAAGATAGTGATTTCCATCTGTGGAGAAGTTCTCTAAATCAATGCTTAGGACAAATCTAGCTCCAGAACCAGCCATAGACCCAGCTGGCTAATCTTTTGAAAACTTTAGCCAGCAACAGAGATACTTGGTATCTGTACTTTACTATTTATATTTTTGACAACTTTTACTTTTACTTCACTACATTCCTAAAGAAAAGAATGTACTTTTTACTCCATACATTTTCCCTCACACCCAAAAGTACTTGTTACATTTTGAATAAATTTTTTACATTTTAGTCATATAGCAGACGCTCTTATCCAGAGCGACTTACAGTTAGTGAGTGCATACATTTTCATACTGGCCCCCCGTGGGAAATGAACCCACAACCCTGGCGTTGCAAGCGCCATGCTCTACCAATTGAGCTACAGGGGACCCCTACTTAGCAGGACAGGAAAATTGTCCAATTCACTCACTTATCAAGAGAATATCCCTGGTCATCCCTACTGCCTCTGATCTGGCAGACGCACTAAACACAAATGCTTCATTTGTAAATTATGTCTGAGTGTTGGAGTGTGCCCCTGGCTATTTTTACATAAAAAAAACAAGAAAATAGTGCCCCCTGGTTTGCTTAATATAAGGAATGTGAAATAATTTGTACTTTTACTTTTGATATTTAAGTATATTTAAAACCAAATACTTTTATACTTTTACTCAAGTATGACAATTGGGTACTTATTCCACCACTGATCATTGCTAGACAGCCATTTTCAAGTCTTGCCATAGATTTTCAAGCCAAATTAAATCAAAACTGTAACTAGGCCACTCAGGAACATTCAATATAATCTTGGTAAGTAACTCCAGTGTATATTCGTTTTAGGTTATTGTCCTGCTGAAGGTGGATTTGTCTCCCAGTGTCTGTTTGAAAGCAGACTGAACCAGGTTTTCCTCTCCTCTAGGACTTTGCCTGTGCTTAGCTCTGTTCCTTTTCTTTTTATCCTAAAAAACTCCCTAGTCCTTGCCGATGACAAGCATACCCATAACAGCCACCACCATGCTTGAAAATAGAAGAGTGGTACTCAGTGATGCGTTGTGTTGGATTTGCTCCAAACATAATGCTTTGTATTAATTTCTTTGCCACATTTTTTGCAGTATTACTTTAGTGCCTTATTTCAAACAGGATGCATGTTTTGGAATATTTGTATTCTGTACAGGCTTCCTTCTTTTCCCTCTGTCATTTAGGTTAGTATTGTGGAGTAACTACAATGTTGTTGATCCATCCTCAGGTTTCTCCTATCACAGCCATTTAACTCTGTAACTGGTTTAAAATCAACATTGGCCTCATGGTAAAATCCCTGAGCGGTTTCCTTCCTCTCCGTCAACTGAGTTAGGAAGGACATCTGTATCTTTGTAGTGACTGGGTGTATACTTCACCATGCTCTAAGGCATATATTCAATGTTTACCCATCTACCAATAGGTGCCCTACTTTGTGAGGCATTGGAAAACCTCCCTGTTCTTTGTCATTGAATCTGTGCTTGAAATTCACTGCTTGACTGAGGGACCTTACAGATAATTGTATGTGTGGAGTACAGAGATGGGGTAGTCATTCAAAAATCAGAGTTAGTCCATGCAACTTATTATCTGACTTGTTAAGCACATTTTTACTCCTGAAGTTATTTAGGCGTGCCATAACAAAGGCGTTGAATACTTAGTGACTCAAGACATTTCTGCTTTTCGTTTTTGATTAATTAGTAAACATTTCTAAAACCATAATTCCACTTTGACATTATGGGGTATTGTGTGTGTAGATCAACAAAATCGACACCTAAGTACCGTGATAATAGCATATTGTGAGGTCCCTGGCAATTCCCAGCCCTACTAGCTAGCTACACTCACAGCTGACAGTGCCCTATTTTTTTATGTTTATCAACTCCACGTGGAAATTCCCACACCCAGCTCATGAATATTTATAAGTAGCCTTCGTCATTCTTTGGAAGTGAAACCTAAACATGCGTTTCCTCTCTAGGACAGGAAATTACGTCAAAATAGTGGCGGCAGCTTCCTCTGTGGGGGTCCTTTAAAGGCCCAATGCATCCATTTTTATATCGATATCAAATAATTTCTGGGTAGCAATTAAGTACCTTACTGTAATAGTTTTCCATTAAAATGGGCAAAAGTTGCTTTTTAGCTAAAAACTATTTCTCAAGCAAGAATTTTGCTAGGACTTTCTGGGAGTGGTCTGTGTGGGGAGGGGAAAACTGAAAACTAGCTGTTATTGGCAGAGAGGTTTGGAACTCTCTTTGTTATTGGTCTATTAACCAATTTGCTGCATAGCGATGTCACCATGGAAAGCCGAAACTCTCGCCTATGCAAACCTGCTGATTAGAAGGTCCTGTGTAGATTGTATTTTCAACAAGCAACTATCAGGAATTAACACTGATCAAATGTTGTCACACTTTTACAGTGTTAGTTTCATCAGCTGTTGTACAATATGATACAAAACTTTGAAATGTGACTGCACTAGGCCTTTAAGCTGACTTTAGCCACTGTAACTCACATTGTTTTTCAGATAGCATTGGCTAAAGTTAGCTAAAATTAGCAGTGGCTATTTAAACAAATTTGAACTGCGGATGACAGTTTCTCCTTGCCCCATACATTTATTTCAGATTAAGTGTAAAAATAGAGGTAAGTGTAAAAAAAAAAAAAAGATATCCTTTAAATTAAGAAGAAATGCAACTTTGGCTACAAAAACACTAACATTCAGTGAGGTTGACCGTTTGGGTAGCCTTACCGGACTTCGGGCATGGGGAATCCTCGAACAATGCAGTCCAGCTGAACCTTGCTGCCCTCCAGCACCTCCCTGCTTTTCAGTTTCTGGATGAAGTGAGGGGGCTCAGAGGTGGGGTCGGCTGTGTACACACTGGGGGTGATCTCCACCAGGGCAGGGCTTTCAGCCTCATCCACCCCATCCGCCTCCAGCACCCCCGAGTCATCATACTGCTCCTCAGTAGTCCTGCAGTCCTGCATGGGGAAGTAAGCGTTCCCAAACCCTGGTTCTATGCCCAAACCCTGGACTTCTGGCGGCTGAATGCTGAAGGAATTAGCAGGCCTCTCCATCGCCATTTCGAAGTCTTGGAGAAGAATGGTCCGTTCCCTGTCGTCTGCATTCAGGGAAGAAACGCTCCCATCCACTTGGCCCTTGTTGGCTCTGCTCCTATGAGCTTTGCATGATCGGGGCCGTATCCTTTTAGAGCTGTTAGCCTTGAACAGAGAGGAGAGCTCCTCGATGAAGTCTGCTGCCTTGTTGAGGAACTCCTTCTTGGACTGGGTCTCCAGTCCGTACGCTGGCGTGTTCATCCCCCTTGCCACTGGCCTCTTAAAGTCCTCCCTGGCCACCCCGTTGTTCTTCATTGTAATGTCCTGGATGATGGACGGTGGGAACGTCTGTCTGTCAGCCGTCATTCCATTGTCCTGCATGGACGGTGGGTACAACTGTCTGTCTGTCCTCATGGCGTTGTCCTGGATGGATGGTTGGGACAGTTGATATATCTGTCTGTCGGTCCTCATCGCGTTGTCCTGAATGGACGGTTGGGATGGCTGATATATCTGTTTGTCTATCCTTATCACATTGTCCTGTATGGACAGAGGTGGGAATGACTGTCTCTCTGGGAAGAATGTTGGGTGTGTTGGTAGGGGTTCTTTTAGTTCCAGGTCAGGCTGGGTGTCGGGAGTGTTGGATGCAGCGGAGGTGGCAGAAGGGGCCTTGACCTCTGTCCTCTCCTCGCGGGCCTCGTGTCCGATAGCCTGACAGGCCAGGTTGACACTCTTATCCAGTTCTTCCTGGCTCAGGAAGGCTGAGAGGTCTGGGAACCGAGGTTGGGGTTGGGGCTCGTCCTGCCCCGCAGAGTTCTCCGCCTTGCCTTTGAGGGGTGCGTAGACCAGGCGGCGCAAGGAGGAGTCGGAACGGCTCATCTCGCTGTGTCTCTGGTGCGCTCGCGCTTCGGCCAAGTAGTTCTCTCTCAAGAGCTGAGACAATGATGTAGGCTGGTTCACATTGTTCTCTTGCATGCTGTGGGGAAATAAGAGGGTTTAAAACTTTAACTGATTGTGACGGTTTCATTTTAAGTGTGTCAGTGCATAAGTGTATTCCCCCTGTAAAAATTCATCATTACACTTCCATTTAAATTAGTTCAGACATTACTAATTTAGAAACTTATAATAAATCAATGCTTCTACATTCATTGAATATTTGACAAAAATTATGCAATATTGGTAAGATCACAGAATACTTTGCAAGTAATTCAATAACAATCTGTGTTCCACTTGTGGGTCATAATCAATTCCTATTTTAGGATGAGCTGCATTACTACCTTGCTTTTCCCAATATTCTGTCTTTCAATTGCAATGAAAATGCACAGTATACCATGCGCAGATACCACCCCCACAAAAACTGTTGACATTCAGTGTGTCTTTCTTTGGAATCGGTTTGCTGGGCTCAACATTCGTGGGGTCATAATTCTTCCACAAAAACAGCAAGCAGCCACATGGCTTGGAATTAGGGCACAGCTACAAACCTGACTAATTAGTGCAATTGCTCAATATGACTAATTGTTTCAATGACATACAAAATATCTTGTTTCCATATTCATTACCCCCCCCCCCCCCCCACCAAAAAAAAAAGAAAGAAAAAACACTAGAATCTTGAGCATCATTTCCATTGAATAATGTCAACCCACTTCGAAACCACAATGCATTCAATACGACTTAAAATAGCATTCTATTTTCATTTCAAAACACCTTAAACCTCGTGGCCCCAGACAGAAATTCGTTTCATTGGATCTCGCCCAACTTGGACAAGAGTAGCTGCTTTCAGTGTATTTAAGGCACATTTGTTCATAATGTCCAGCCTTTAAACAGCTTTTTGACACTAGCCATGAGTAGTTCGCTCTGGATAAGAGCGTCTGCTAAATGACTAAAATGTAAATGTAGTTATTGAATCCAGAAACAGGATATAGTACACAGATGCTACTGACACTCAAATCTGTGCAGTTAAGAGAGGCAGCAATGCCCTTCCAACAGACCTGCAGCTGCTGTGTACATTAATCATTTGCAAACAGCCTCCAAGCCCCCCAAGTCATATCTAATTATAGTAAGGTCTCAGTTTACATGAAAAAAAATAAACAGTCCTCCTGGTCTTCAGTGCAACAAGGATTTGATCGCCTACCAAAACTCAAACAAATTATTTTGTGCGAGATTATGAGGGTGATACAGAACACTTAGAAAAACACTACGTCACCCCCCTCAGACTGGAAATACAGACCCTGGCTTAAGTCAGCAGCACTACCCACCCAGGTTCATGGTAGAATGAATAAAACACATAAGTCACTTCAAATTCAATAATATAAGCCCATGCTTGCCCAATTTACATTTACATTTTAGCCATTTAGTGGGTTTATGTCAAACTTACTGAGTTTACTGTACACACCAATTCATCAGTGGTTGGTGTATGAACCCAAGTGACGGTCAATAGGACACAATGAACAACAGGTAATAGGTGTTGGGTGTTTTACCTTCAAATAAACCCCAGTGGGCCCGGCTGGAGCTGGTGGTAATCCTCGGAGCGTACCTGTGCTCAAAGAGAGGGGATTCCAGTCTTCCGGGGTTGGCCACCTGGGAAAATGTGGACACAGGAGGCAGCTGCCCCAGCTGGCTTCCCAATTTCTCGCACAGAGTTAACCTTGGAGTTTACTGGAAAATATGGAGGCGAGTAGCTAGGGAAACCTGTCACCAGTAAAAGTAGTAACATTTGTCAGCGCACTAGTCTCAGGTTATTTTGGGGCGGCCAGGACCATGTGCCTGAGTGGCATCCCAGCTCATTGGCCAGTGGGGGCGTTCTGGAAAGGGATTCCTCCTCCGGAAGAGCAGCACCTACAGTAGTCTGTCAAAGCACGACCACTCCCCTTGTTGAGACTGACACACTATGGTTAACGCAGCAGATTACTGGTGTTAATTAACAGCACTGCAAGTGCTCTCTGTGAACTAGTTGAAGGGGAATTATCATAGAGCCCTGCCACTATTTGATCTCATAAATATCTTGACTATCTAATGATTATATACACATACTGCATCATTCAACTCAGACATGTATGCAAAAAAAAATCTGCATAAATAAACAAAACAAAGATCAAGCATTGTTCAAGGGAGATCACTGAAATAAAGGCATGTTGCTGGACCTCTTCTCTGATACTTTAACACAGTAATTATTACTTAATGAATGCAATAAAATCCTGCCCCTGAGTGTCTTGTGTTGGGGTGTTGATTTCCTCCTTTCCCCTGCATTATTTAAGCCTGTCAGTGAAAAGCCTTTATTCACAGTACTAATTAACTTTTGAAGAGAAACTCAATCATTACTCAGCCCACAAGATCCTACCGCTGCCACCAACCCCCAGTGATTCCACAGGTGATAATATACATCCTTTTCAAGATTTGTTTATTGAAAGTAAAACTGTACATAAGACAATGAGTGTGCCATCTCCAACATCCTCACAGAAAAAAACAAGCCCGAGCATCACATTACACTTAAAACAGTGCAAAGAGCTGTATCAAATACTTTCATTTAACATAAACCACATGTAACAAAGGTAACTCTATGACAGTAACTACCGTACATTGATCATAACCACACTGTGTCTGGATCTGTTTACATCATCAGGGAAACTGGAGAGAACACAGGGATAATTTGACCTCCACCTACATCATTATTGTAACCAAATTCACAACAGTTTCAATAATTGATCCTAATCAATTGGCTCAGTAACTTGGTACAATGGGTAGGCTAATGCAGATACAGCAGCAACATGGGGAGACTGACACCATCATTTCTGGAGTCACAATGCAATGTTTTATAACAGGGAATAAAAACATTGTGAATCATCTTTGGCATGCTTGGTAAATACGATCTGGTTCAAAAACAACGCAATAAAGGATAAATGTTGTAGAAAATAGTCCTTTAAACAATTACCTACATAACCTATTCAGTTATAACCTAAACTTTACTCCTATTTTGTATACTAATGCTCATACATTTGAAATAGACAAAATGTAACAGAACAAGCTTTGTTGCTGTTTCGTACCCATTGAGAAAGAAATTCTGTTATACAGGACATATTTTATTCTGTAAGTTCCAGATAAACCATTGTTTAAAGTTGCCTAAACATCAAAATACCTAATAAGGTATGTGCTACTGTCGAACTTTCTGAAATTCAGGAGGAAATGTTCCCACTTCCCAGACCCTAGTCTTTTGTGACAGACGTTAACAGATCTGACTGATACAAAGAGACACAATTGGTTCCTATCCAAACAACTGTCAATATTAGTTACACAGACCAGACAGACAAAAATCAAGTGTTCTACACAACAACAGATGAGGAATAGCAGCAGACTGTCATAGTTACTGAATCAGATCAATCAGACCAATAACAGATCAGGGTGGCCCTGGTTAGAGATCACAATCATGTTCATTAGGCACAAAGCGGAAGAAAACTGACAAATGTTCCTTTTGTTTTCCATTGTTATTGTTTATGTTTTCCGCGGCATACCCTAATGAACACGACCCATGATTGACACAGTATACAGTATGTGGTCAAACTTGGAATCATGCCCAATCCACCTGGTTAATGGCATCTAATAGGCAACTTGAATATCCCAACAAAGCAGAGCAGAAGGCACACTTTAATGAAGAAAATAAAAAAAACTAGACATTAAACCACATAATACCTTAACAATAAAGATGGATTCATCACCAAAAGCTGACAGAATCATTCTGCACCCTTATGAATTCACTGTGCTTTTCAGAAGAGGCAAAGAAAGGAGTGTCCACTATGACTCTTGCGGGTCAAAAATGAGCCCATGCTTATGCTCACCCACTGCACTCAGCATCAGAGAATCTTAATCGTTCACAGTGTTTTGTGAATTTGGGTTGAGCCAGGTCGCTGACTGTCTGAGCACCTGCAAAAAACAACAATCAGTAATTCATATTTTTGTACATATTTTTCAATATGCCGATTATAAGTCATCATGCAAATGAGTGACATTTTGCTAGTCAATAGCAAGCAATGTATGCATCATCCTTACTCTATGCAGACTCCTCGCTGGCTCTCTTACGAGACTGGTCACCTCTGCAAAATAAAAGGAAGCTTAGTCAAAAACCAGGGTTGTGCTCTTTAGGCACAAAACACAAGAAAACAGTCCAAAATGGGGATGTACTATCTGAACTTGTCTAATAAGAAACGCACATTAACGTTTTCCTAAAGAACACTACCCTGGTGGAAGTATTATTTATTTATTTGCTAAACTCTGCCTTGTAACACTCACCTGGGAAAGCCATTCAGAGAGAGCTCCATTTGTAGTTTCTGGTCACGAGCAGCATAGTCAGAGAGCTGGGATTCCACTGTTGGGGGGTTGATTTGAGGAATGAATCCAGAGAAGAGAGCTGGGGCTAAATGTGCCCAATCTGAAACAGGTAGCCAATAGTCATTATAATAGAGGTCATAACACATACAGGGCAGGTGTTTTATAGTGCATGTTTACCTCTCCAACTTCAAGTGGGAGACACAAATAGTGCTCATCAGAGTTATCCATATTTCTCACACTTTTGATTGGTGCTACACTCGTGTTTGACAGTTAAACATCATTTTAATAGTGGATGTAACTATTTAGGCAGCAGCATGTGTTGTGGCATTTTAAAAAAGACAGAAAGGAAAGGGCTCACCTGGCCGAAGAGTATAGAGGCCTTTCACCACACTGGCCATTGTTGAAGGTCTGACTTGAAAAGGCATGGAATGGGCTTCGAGGAGAAGAGCTAAAGGAAAAACAGAGAAAAAAAATAAACAATAATAATTAAGCATCAACAACACAATTTTACAAGATGAGTAATAAGCTAAATAGTTTGGGTTTGGACTGCAAGGCGGGGTGTCAGTTGACCAGTCCACTGTACTCACGTATCAACGTGTTCACATGTTTTTCTGCAACATGATCAGTAAAAAGCTTCATGAGATCTTCTCGCAGGTGTCGGTTTAACTTCGTTTCAATGTAGAACTTATTCTTAGAAATGAAGAAGAAAAACATGCTTGTATGAAAGGAGTATATGATTAAGGTCTGCCCTAAACATTGATGGAGTAGGCTTTATCTATATCCTGGAAACAGGCCCAAAGAGATTTAATGGAAAGCATATTCCAAGGATGAGCACTTCATCAGGATACATACCATGTAGATGAATACAGGAACTATGCATTGAAGAGCATCTGTGTACTGAGTCAGAGCAATGTTGAAATTCTCAATGAAATTCCCTGGTGGACTGATCTGATAAAAGAGAAGAAATTATCAGTGTTAATTTACTTATCAGGTATTTATGCAAAAAAAATGCAGTGAAATGGGGGATACTATCTGCACAATAAGAAACACTTGTTTTTGTTATCCATTGCAAATATTTTTGTACAGTATGTACCCTATGAACACGACCCAGGTTCTCTGTTTTCACTTACCTGTAAATCAGATGAGACTTGTTGAAGATGGGTAGTAATCTTCAGCATCAAGTCTTTGTACAGTAGCTCAGAGTGCTGTTGACAAACACACTTGTACACGTAACTGAAAAAGGGAAAGGAAATGACCGTTAAAATGTTAACAAATGTGACCAACCGGCTCAATTCGGTCTTATGTAGCAAAATTTGAAATTGTGTTTTTTACATTGGATAAAAGTAGACTCAGAGCTAGAACATTTTATATAATACACTATAATTGAGGAACAATGGGAAAGTAATTCTGCTTTGAAAGTTGATAAACTTGTAACCTCACTTTTGAGAAAATGGCCCTTGAATGTTTTGGTACACCTACTGGAGAGCTCTTCTTTGTCTACACCCATTCAGCATCGTTCACACCCTCTAAAGCCTTAGCCCCACCCATCTCTTTGATTCACATGTGAGGCCATGTACTAAACAACCAAAGATTCCAAGACTAAAGGCTGGTTTATACTACGGGTGTGTTCGTCAATTTAATCTGGAGTGCCAGAGTGTGCTCAGAGTGCGCTCTGGGCGTTCGTAAACTCAGAGCGTTGTCATATTGTCAGTTCGTAAATTCTGAGTGTTCCGCTCTTGGAGCGTTCAGAGCACACACTGGACGCTCTGGCCGAGGAGTAGGGTTGATCCAAGCGTTCTGACCTAATAACAGCACCCAAGCTAACTGGCTAACGTTGGCTAGCTTGCTAGCTACTTCCAGACACAAATGAGAGAACAGCTCACTCTGACCATTTTGATCGCCCTAGCAGAGCTGGTTAGGCTATTTTTATGTTATCCAGAGCGTTGGGTGACTGCAACTGTGCTGCTGGCAACAATTTAATTACGCTTTTTTGCCAATGTTTACTGACACCGGCCATATTAAAATGGGTGTTGAGCATTCGTAAATTTGTCAGTTATTCTGCGCTCTCGCACACTCAGACGAGATAGCCAGAGCGAATTTACCAGCTACGTCTATCGACAGTTGTCGCAGTGACATCATGAACATTCTATTGAAATGGTTACTTGCATAGTGGAGTCTTTTGTTTAGAGATTTAGCTAGCTAGCTAAACAATGACCATAATCCCAACTCATAACATTACTATCCTGCATGAATCTGCAGGCAGCTAACCAACCAGGTTCAATGTTAGCTAGCTAATATTAGGCTGTAACTAGCAATGCAAATGGCTCTGAGATACAAATAATATAACTACACAGATCATACACATAATGTTAGCTAGCGAGCCAGCCAGCTAACGTTAGCTAGCTAGCTAACAGTACACTTTAACTTAAAATAAAAACGACTTTGACAAAATTAGAAACGTGTAATATCTGAAAATGTAGCTAGCTAGACTATTTTACCCATATACATGGACGGACGCTTCTCCCTCTCTGTCACAGATGCCATGGTTGCCCTTAGTTTGAAGATGTAATCCGGAGACAGGTGTTTTATACAACAGCCTTCTGTGTGTTCTCTTTTCGACTCTGTCTGCATATTTGCAATCAAACGCCAGAATTTTCTCCATCTCCTTAGCTATCATACTCTAATTCCACTGATTTCAAAACTCGGTCCTCCAGAATGTGGAGAGCCACACTTATGCAGTTCTACTATGCAATATATTTTCTTTAAAGCCGTGTTAGACAGGATTATCTACACATACCGACCAGCTCAAATAGGCAGAAGTGTGCTACATGGCAGACCAATCCAAACTAATCTCTCGGCATGTCCAGCCCACTCATTATCTCAGCCAATCATGACTAGTGGCTAAACCAACTAGGCTCGTAATTTAACCATTTTATTCGTATTTACAGATGGCATACATGTTTGTTATTAAGGCACATGAAAGTTCACATGTTCCAGAAGGCATTTGTGCGAAAAAATGCATTTTGATTTTAAAACATAAATAGTTTACGTTCAAATGGCTCTTCTGTGAAGTAGTGACGCGCGACATACGCCTAGTTTCCTGAAACAAGTCACAAATGGCAATATCTCCCCTCAAAGGTCTCACACATGAGTAGTACAGCAGTTCCATGTCTTAATTTCTTTCAAAGCTACATAAGATATCAATACAGTCACACAGTTTGTGTCTCACCTGTATATCTGCTCATATGAAATGGAGATGTGGTCCATGGGGTTTTGTATCAGCAGGTGGTCAATGGCTTTCTCCAGATTCGGCCAGTATGTGGTTCTATAGTCCTCTTCGGTCATTGCATTCATTACTGAAACACAAAATTATAAAGATTAGGTTATTTTCATTACAACTTGAGCCGTCTCTCTGTCCTGACATGACAATAAAATGAATTCCAAACAAGGACTACAGCATACAAGGGACATTAGCTGAGGAATGTTCAACTCCGTTCTCTTATATCGAGGCGGAGTTGAGTTTTAATAAGTGGTCACGAGACTTGCTAGCAACATTTAGTCAACTTCAGCCAATTCTTCTAAAAATGTCAATTCTGAAAACGCTTACCTGTACATATGTTTGCCCTGTACAACTGTGGTCCTTCTGCTTGGTGCTGAAATTCATACTTTTAAAGAAAAACTTTGAATACAACCACCGACCTTTTCCTCATTTGTGTTGCTCAACTCAGCGCATGTGACAATTTAGCTGAGGAACCCTTAACTCCGTTGTCTTATATCGAGGCGGAGTTGAGTTTTGATTACTGGACACGGATTTGCTAGCAACAACATTGAGTCATCAACATCAGTCAATTATTGTAAAAAATGTCAATTCTGAATACACTTCACTGTACCCATCTTTGTCCTGTACAATTGCGGTCCTTCTGCTTGGTGGTGAAATTCATACTTCTAATAAATACTTTTATCGAATACCTGGGTCAATGGAAACCTGCCTATTGAGTCACCATCAGTCAATACTTGTAAAATATCAATTCTGATAACGCTTAGCTGTACCTATGTTTGTCCTGTACAACTGTGGTCCTTCCGCGGAGTGCAGAAATTCATAGTTTTAATAAAAACTTTTGTGGAATACAACCACCAACCTTTTCCTCGTTGCTCGTACTACATAAACTGAGATTCAATTGGGTCATGCTATCCCATCCCAAGGATATTCCTTAGCTAAACGGTCATATAGTAGCCAACTTACTCCACTGACGTTTAGGCCAAAGGCAATGCAATGGCATATTTACATGGCAAACTACATCCTCATCCCATATCAGTAAATCAAAAACATGATAAACATAAACACGATGCTTTCAACTTACGAAACTTTGAGGCTGAGTTCAGGGTCAGTTTCCCTGCGATGGAAGCCGACGATGAACTGTCAGTCTCGCTGGTGTCACTGCTCACGCTGCTCGAGTCTGAATCCATGAACTTTGAACCACTGCTGGAACTGGAACAAACCTTTGCGTGGTTCCCCTGGGGCCCTACATCTCGCGTGCCCAGAACCGGCAAAATGGGTAGGGGCTGGGGTTCATTTGACAGCTCGGTCCTGAGATAGTGGACTTGTCCACTGGCACGGTTTTCACAGTAGTTATGGTTGTGGTCGTCATTTAGACCAGAACTTTCTTCTTCCATGTCCTCCATGCTTTAGCCTTTCAAGTTGTCTAAGGAAAATCTTCATGAATTTGATGTTCGGTTAGATTAATTTTGTTTTTAGAGCACCATCGCTTTGCACCTTGTACACGCTAGTTGCTGTATGGGAAGTAAATTAAATGTTTTACGACACTTTGCAGCATTTGCTTTCAGGCAGAGCTGAACTGGGGTGGACCGATCGTCACTGGTTACCACAGCCACAAAGTCAGAAGGCCCGCCTACTCAACCAATCAGATGAGGGAGTGTGGTGACGCTAGGTTTTTGGTTCGTGGGAAACGACCAATGACGTGTATAAACCCACATCGTTGGAAACGACCAATCAGTTGAGGGAGTGTGATGACGCGTATGCCGACCGGCTTGCAAGGGCCAGTCACAGAGTTTATAAACTGTACTGTCTTTGGGGGCCAGACGAGAAACATGCATTTCTTATATTTATTTATCTGTCAATGATTTGGTTTTTTATTTCTTTTTATTTCACCTTTATTTAACCAGGTAAACCAGTTGAGAACAAGTTCTCATTTACAACTGCGACCTGGCCAAGATAAAGCAAAGCAAAGCAGTGCGATAAAAACAACAACACAGAGTTACATATGGGGTAAAACAAAACAAAGTCAAAAATACAACAGAAATACATATAATATACAGTGTGTGCAAATTTAGCAAGTTATGGAGGTAAGGCAATAAAATAGGCTATAGTGCAAAATAATTACAATTAGTATTAACACTGGAATGATAGATGTGCAAGAGATGATGTGCAAATAGAGATACTGGGGTACAAATGAGCAAAATAAATAACAATATAGGGATGAGGTAGTTGGGCGGGCTAATTTCAGATGGGCTGTGTACAGGTGCAGTGATCGGTAAGGTGCTCTGACAACTGATGCTTAAAGTTAGTGAGGGAGATAAGTGTCTCCAGCTTCAGAGATTTTTGCAATTTGTTCCAGTCATTGGCAGCAGAGAACTGGAAGGAATTGCGGCCAAAGGAGGTGTTGGCTTTGGGGATGACCAGTGAGATATACCCGCTGGAGCGCAGACTACGGGTGGGTGTTGCTATGGTGACCAATGAGCTAAGATAAGGCGGGGATTTGCCTAGCAGTGATTTATAGATGGCCTGGAGCCAGTGGGTTTGGCGACGAATATGTAGTGAGGACCAGCCAACAAGAGCGTACAGGTCACAGTGGTGGGTATTATATGGGGCTTTGGAGACAAAACGGATGGCACTGTGATAGACTACATCCAATTTGCTGAGTAGAGTGTTGGAGGCTATTTTGTAAATGACATCGCCGAAGTCAAGGATCGGTAGGATAGTCAGTTTTACGAGGGCATGTTTGGCAGCATGAGTGAAGGAGGCTTTGTTGCGAAATAGGAAACCGATTCCAGATTTAACTTTGGATTGGAGATTCTTAATGTGAGTCTGGAAGGAGAGTTTACAGTCTAACCAGACACCTAGATATTTGTAGTTGTCCACATACTCTAGGTCAGACCCGTCGAGAGTAGTGATTCTAGTCGGGTGGGCGGGTGCAAGCAGCGTTCGGTTGAAGAGCATGCATTTAGTTTTACTAGTGTTTAAGAGCAGTTGGAGGCTACTGAAGGAGTGTTGTATGGAATTGAAGCTCGTTTGGAGGTTTGTTAACACAGTGTCCAATGAAGGGCCAGATGTATACAAAATGGTGTCGTCTGCGTAGAGGTGGATCTGAGAGTCACCAGCAGCAAGAGCGACGTCATTGATATACACAGAGAAAAGAGTCGGCCCAAGAATTGAACCCTGTGGCACCCCCATAGAGACTGCCATAAGTCCAGACAACAGGCCCTCCGATTTGACACATTGAACTCTATCTGAGAAGTAGTTGGTGAACCAGGCGAGGCAGTCATTAGAGAAACCAAGGCTATTTAGTCTGCCAATAAGAATGCGGTGGTTGACAGAGTCGAAAGCCTTGGCCAGGTCAATGAAAACGGCTGCACAGTACTGTCTATTATCGATCGCGGTTATAATATCGTTTAGGACCTTGAGCGTGGCTGAAGTGCACCCATGATCAGCTCGGAAACCGAATTGCATAGCGGAGAAGGTACGGTGGGATTCGAAATGGTCGGTGATCTGTTTGTTGACTTGGCTTTCAAAAACTTTTGAAAGGCAGGGCAGGATGGATATGGGTCTGTAACAGTTTGGATCTAGAGTGTCACCCCCTTTGAAGAGGGGGATGACCGCGGCAGCTTTCCAATCTCTGGGGATCTCAGACGTTACGAAAGAGAGTTATTTATTAGATATGGTAAAACCAACCGTTATAAATGCAAAGTGTTAATCAGATGTCTTATTCACACTCAGCTTACAAGCTTTCATGATGTTTGCCCTTACTCAAAGTTACCCAAAATAGGTTTACTCCAATATCTGTAAAGGGAGGCCTTCAATGGGTGCCTGCCATCGCTGCCCCGTGTAGCTCAGTTGGTAGAGCATGGCGCTTGCAACGCCAGGGTTGTGGATTCGATTCCCACGGGGGGCCAGTATGAAAAAAAATATATGCACTCACTAATTGTAAATTGCTCTGGATAAGAGTGTCTGCTAAATGACTAAACATGTGTGAAATGGGAGGGCTAAGTATGAGAGAATGGAAGTGTTTCTGTTTATCCTTTGATATACTGGCCAGTATCATTATCCATATTTCATCAATTTACAGTTATATGCATACTTTTATGCATACCAGTTATATGCATGCCTGATCGTTATTCTTAAGTAGTTGTGTGAATGAGAGTATGTGATATCATTTTGTTGTATTATCATTTTGTTGTCTTTTTGTGCCCTCTCTCTCCTCCCTCTATCGCTGATCACAGGTAATGAGTTGCACCTGTGACAGAGGGGAAGTGTATTTATTTGGGTGCTATGGTGTGGGCCTTGAAGTCTCCTGTGTTCTGGGCCTGGGAAAACATGTGAGATGGTGTCCATGAGGAGCCCTTCTGTATTGCCATCCGGCCACGTAAGAAGCTACATTAAATCTCCCTTTACTTTTCGCATGATACAACGTGATCCTGAGTTTCATTCAATACGGTCCAGGCAACGGCCTGTCTGGGACATTTGGTGGCAGCGTTGGGATGAGTTTCCTTACAGTGAGTGAGATAGAGGGGGAAGGGGCCCCAGTGAGGGCTCACAAGTCAAAGCGACAGTGCAGAGAGGCTAAGCAACAGGTCGTTTTGCAGAAGCTAGATGGAAAGCTACCATCTCCGGAGCTGGTGCCGAGGGATATTGTGAAGCTTCAGAGGGAGGATGCTAGCCTAGCTAAGCTGTTTGAGAAGGCGGAAAAGCAGCAGACCGGTGTGGTGAGTGAGTTGTAGTAGAGAAGGGCAACCAGTTGGTGTTGCCAGTGCAGTGCAGGGCCAGTGTTATGGAGTTGGGCCATAGTATCCCTATGGCTGGTCATCTAGGGAGAGAAAAGACCCTTGCTCGCATACAGCAACGGTTTTATTGGCCCTGGATAACACAGGATGTTGCAGATTTTTGCCTGTCATGTCCAGTGTGTCAGGCTACAGCTCTTGTCAGGGTCTCAGAGAGGGGACCTTTGTATGCGCTGCCAGTGATTGAGGAGCCATTTTCACGTATTGCCATGGATATTGTGGGGCTTTTAGTACCAAGCAGCTCAGGGAACAAGTACATACTAGTCATATGTGATTATGCAACACGGTCCCCTGAGGCTTTTCCTCTGAGGAAAATCAAAGCTAAGCAGGTAGCCAAAACTCTGTCATTTCATCACACGTGTAGGCCTACCTAGAGAACTAATTACAGATCAGGGCAGCAATTTTATGTCTACTTTCCTGAAGCACATGTACAAGTTCTTACGCAGTACTCCTTATCATCCAGAAACCGATGGGTTTGCTCAGAAGATTTGTGGATTAGTTGGGTAAGGACTGGAACGCATGGCTGCCCTATCTGCTGTTTGCATACCAGGAGGTGCCACAGGCATCCACAGGTTTCTCTCCATTTGAACTCTTGTATGGCAAAAATGTATGGGGCCCTCTTGATGTGTTGAGGGAAGCGTGGGAGGAGCCAACTGCAGTTGGTGCCAAGAATGTCATTTCTCATGTGCTGCAGATCAGGGACAGGCTTGCCCACTACGCTATGCTGGTGAGAGAGAACATGACTCTGGCTCAAAAGTGCTGGTATGACCGCCACAGCAGAGAGAGGGAGTACATACGTGGCCAGAAGGTGCTACTGCTGCTGCCCTCCACAGAGCACAAGCTGTTGGCCAAGTGGCAGGGGCCGTTGGCCAGAGCAGGGGAGATCACGCCAGATCTTCCATGTGAACCTACTAAAGGAGAGGAAGGAGAGGAAGAGGACGGTGGCCTTAGTAAGGAAAGTGGAGGACGAGAAGGCTGCTGAAGGGGTTTTTCCTTGTGAGGACAGCGATGAGACTAAGCCGGACATCAGCCATCTGTCAAGGGAGAGGAAGGCGCAGGTGAAAAAGTTGCTAGATAGGCCAGGGATGTTCACAAAAAAAGCAGGCAGCACATCGCTGGTGGAGCACACCATCCATCCTAAAGAGCGCACCACTCCAATCCGACAGCGACTGTATTGTATCCCAGAGCGGTTGCTGGTTAAGATGAAGGAGGTCAATGCTATGCTGCGGCTGAGGGCAGTCGTGCCTTCAGAGAGCACTTGTAGCTCCATAGTGTTAGTGCCAAAGAAGAATGGTGAGATTAGGTTTTGTGTAGACTTCATAAAAGTAAACTATGTTTCTGACTTTGATTGCTACCCACTCCCTAGAATTGACGATTTGTTAGACTGGCTAGGCCCAGCTAAGTTCCTCACTACCCTGGACTTGAGCAATGGTTTCTGGCAGGTGTCCTTGACCCCAGAGTCTCGACCCAGGACAGCCTTTAGGTCCACCTTTGGGCTCTTTGAGTTCACAGTGATGCCGTTTGGCCTCCAGAGGGTGTCAGCTACATTCCAAAGAATGATGGACAAAATGCTACGGGGCTGTGATGACTTTACTGCTACTTGGACG